TTTCATCAAAGAATTTTCCCGAATGTAAACACCGATGACACCGACTGAATGATGAATGCTTGATCAGCCATCCCTATATTAAAGAACCAGTTGAGACTAGTAGAAATTGAACATGAATCTACTGGTGTCAACTTGCTTTCCAAATTGAAAAACTTTTCCGTGTAGCAATTCTACTGGTTTTAACTTGGAAATCCTATTTATGTAACTGACACGGATATCCAAGATAAAATTGAAATGGTTCTATCTTGGATTGTCCTCTTCAATTTTTGTTTCGACTTGTTTCAACATGGATTTCCAATCTTATCATTTCTACTTGTATTTCCAAGTTCGCACGTACTACAAGTATCAGCTTGCATTTCCAAATACAAAAATTAAGTTCAAGTATCTACTTGATTCAATTTGGATTCTCGAATACTACATTTCACTTGTCCTGTCAAATTAAAAATCAACAAGCTTGAGTTTGGAATTTCCAACTCTAAATTTATATGTTACAGTGAAGGATTAATGTCATCTTGGTTTAATTTGAATCGGGGATGCATTCTATTTGGAATTTCAAGTTCAAATTTAAAGAGTTTGATTAATCGCTAATTGGAATTCATAAAATTGTCATTTTCGCCAATTGTTATTTTATAAATTGTTATTTTTGCAAAGAATTATTATTACAAATTTACATTTTTACAAATATTTATTTTAGTTAACTGTTATTTTGCAAATTTTATTTTTGCAAAAGTGCATTCTTCGCAATTGACAGTTTTACAAATTGGTAGATACTTTTGCTAATTGTTATTTTTTGCGAAACTGCTTTGTTGTGAATCATTATTTCGGCTAATTGTTGTTTTGCAAATTTTATTTTTTCGAATTTGCATTTCTCGAATTGATATTTTTATGAATTTGTTACTATTGCTATTTGTAATTTTGTGAATTTTGTAATTTTATAAAAATCTGTAGTTCACAATCAATGGAATTTTTTTTAACACTGTTGAGTCATTTTGCGAATTTTAATTTTTACGAATTTTCTGTTTTTTATTTCGCTTAATGTTATTTTTTGCAAATTTTTGCAAAAAATTACAACGCGGTCAAATGACATTTGAGTAGAAACTTATTAAATATTTAATTAATATTTTTAACATAATAGCATATATTGCAAATCTATATAAATATTTTAAATTCTGCTTGTATTTTTATAGGTACTTACAAAAATTATAATATTTTACATAAACTTGCGTTTTTCAAAGTTGCAGCTTATATAGACAGGTCGAAAAATATTTCTCACGTCGATTCGATAGCCGTGGTCGTTAAGCGTTTAGATAGATAGGTCATAGGTGCGGGGTTCGATTCCCATAGGGTACAAGTTTTAATTTAATTCTTCCAGTTTAATGAAAATGTTTGTATGTTTGGAGTGTGCTAAGAATATGAAGTTATTGATGGTCATAAGAATGTTTTATTATTTTTTCCACAAATTTTTTTTTTAAAAACTATCTGTTCAATTGTAACCACCTTGGATATCCAATTATGAATCGATATCCAAGTTGAAACAAGATCATATTGTACAATGTAACCTACTTGGAATTTCCGGTTGACTGTAATGTTCAAACTGAAACCAGTTCATTTTGAACTTGACATTCCGAATTCAAACCAGCTGAAAATACATATCTACTGGTTTGAAATTGGAACTTATGTGACAATAACCAACTCAAAGCAAGTAGGCTCCTGATTCTACCCGGTTCTACTGGTTCTTTAATATAGGGATATTTGATGCGCATTACGAACTGCGCATACTACTGACACTCGCGAGTTCACGATTTTTTCGTGAACTTGTACCTCTACATTTGACGAACTACTCTTCATTAACAGTTCAACAAAAATTCATTAACTTTGTTTCAGTTTTTCGTTGACGTTCGCCATTTCTAATCAAAAGTGAATGAAAATTTTGAAATTTTGTGTCCCATCTAAAAGTGATATACTAGTTCACGAGAGATTCGTGAACTTTTTTTTTCCGTGTAGCCTGCCATGGAAAACTAATCTTGCAAGCTTGTTGCAATATTTCATGCTAAGTTTGCGACAAGATTACCATGCAAACTTGTTGTAATATTGTGGTTAGATTGCCGCAAGCTTCCGAAAAGCTTGCTGCAAGATTTCTGTAGGCTTGCAGCAAATAATTTTGTTATATTAAATTATTACCCAGATAGCAAGAGAGCTTAACAGCATCACTGAAAAAAATATATTTATATGGTGCTGCCATAAATATGGCCAATTCTCACATATTATATTGGTGGATATGGAACAGCCATACAGTATTGCTGTTTCAGCCATACGCAGTGTAGAACAGCCATATGTAGGGGAGACTAGGTGCGGTTGTTACAGTGTGCAGTTGTTACAAATGGAATATCTCAGAAACAGTTAGTTATAGAGATGGGGTTCTAAAGAGAAAAACGTTTAGTTTTTATGTACGAACTTACTGCAATATGTTTAAAAATTATATGCAAGCTTTACAAATAAAAAATAGGCACATTGGTTTTTAGAGGCTAAAAGTAAATATTTCTCTGACAGATAATTTTTAAATAATTAATAGACCTTTATACTTAACAAAGTAGATTTTTGTAATATTAATTCTATGAGGATTAAGCTTTAAAAAACTGCCTTGGTTGTCCACATTTAGTGTATACTTTTTTAATAAAGTGTTTTATTGTTAAAAATGTACCTGTTGTGCAGTTGTTACAAGTGATAATGAAAACGGATATTTTTTCTAAAATTCAGCAGATACGTTTGAAACGTAAAATATTTGTCAAAAATGTAATCACACTCATTTTTTATAAAGATTCTCATTGTTTTTCTAAATTCGTCTTCAAAATTAATGAAAAAAAAACTTTTTTAAGTTTCTTTCATTTCGAAACAATATTAATGCTGCCATCTCTATGGAACTGTCACGTACTATAACGTTGGTCCAAAAATTATAAATAATTGATAAAAATGGTTATAAAAAATTATTTTTCTTCAATTTAGAAATTTTATAGATGAATTTTGGTATTGTAACAACCGACATTGACTTTGTGCAGTTGTTACAATTTACACGCTGTCACTCAAATGATTCTACCCAGTAAAAAAAATTCGATACACGGACCGAACTGCACCTTGTCTCCCCTATGTGAGAGAAAGTAATATGTATGTGAAGAACACCAATGCTGTATTTGAAGAACAGAAATACAGTATTGCTGTTTCAGCTTTACGTCCTAACCAAACGAGTATGACAAAATCGACAATATCATTTTTTTCAGTGCAGGCTTATGGCAATCTTTCTGTAAGCATGACGAAAACTTCCGTCAATCTTTTCACAATATTGCATCAAGCTTATACTGTGCTTGCAAGACTTGCCGCAAGCAAGATTTGATAACCCAAGCAGCACGTAATAGAACCTAAAAGTGAAGGCAATATTACATTAGATATTCGGAATATTCCAGTGGAAAACTCGAAGGATTTTAAAGTAATATTAAAATGTCCGCCTCAAAGGAATGTTCCACAGTAATATTAAAAGAATATTCCGGGATGATGTTGAGGGAATGTTCTACCGTAATATTAATGGAATATTCCAGGGTAAAGTTCAGGGAATATCGAGGGAATGTTCCCTGGTAATATTACATACTTTGAAAAAATTTGACATTTTTTCTATTCATCTTCTTTTTTTTAACCCTTTGAGGGGCACATTATTCATATGGACGGATTTTCTTTACATCTCATGTCTTAATATTTTTGGGGTCGCTGATTACGAAATTGGAGTTAGTTTTTGAAAATTCAAAATGGCAGATCCAATATGGCGGACGATTTTTTAAAAATTGTTTAGATTTACCTGAAACTTGTCACTCGGGGGTTTTAGGGATCGCTGATGACGAATCTGATATTAGTTTTTAAAAATTCAAAATGGCGGATCTAATATGGCGGATGACTTATTACTAAATTGGTTCTCGGGTGAACCCAGGTCTTTTTAGAAATCTAAGATCAATTGGATAATTGTAAAAACTGAGTTGCTGACTGATTAGAAATTTTTGTTGTAAAACTAGCAGGAGTTTTATAATAAACATTTTCCAGTTTATTAATTTTAAAAATTTCTCCGCTAATTATTAATCCACAATCTAAATTTAAAAATAGACTAAAGATTGGTAATCAGGGACTACAACAACCTCCAAGTAACAAGTTTCGTGACAATCTAATTATAAATTTTTACATTTGTTATCTGTCATATTGGATCCGCAATTTCGAATTTTTAAAAACTAACATCAGAATCGTCATTAGCGATCCCTAAAACCCCCGAGTGATAAGTTTCATGTAAAACTAAACAATTTTTAAAAAATAGTCTGCCATATTGGATCCGCCATTTTGAATTTTTATAAACTAATGTCACATTCGTAATCAACGACCCCAAAAACCCCCGAGTAACAATTTTTAGTCGATTTTAAAATGTTTAAAAAATTCGTGAATTTTAACAATAATTTATGAATTTTTTTAAACAATAGAAATTTTTTAACATGATCTAGGTTACATATTTTTAAAGCCCTATTCTTCCTGAAGAAAACGCCCTAAATTTGACTCAAAAATATTAATTTTCGTCAAAGATATTGAGGTTTTTGTAGTTGGGACGTATACGTTCCACCGCCTCTCAAAGGGTTAATAAACATAAGATTCATTGTTATTTTCATCTATTTTCAACATATTTAATATTACCTGGGAATATTCCCTAAACATCACATGGAATATTCCGTTAATATTAAGGTGGAACATTCCCTCAACATCATCCTGGAATATTCCTTTCATATTACCGTGGAACATTCCCTTAATGTTATCTTGGAATATTCCTATGAGGCGGACATTTTAATATTACTTTAAGATTCCTAGAACATTTCCGTGGAATATTCCGAACATCTAATGTAATATTGCCTTTATTTTGAGGTTATATTACGTGCTGCTTGGAAAAAGTAAAAGTAGGTACAATAAGAAAATAAGCATACTCAATAAAGATTTGTAATAAAAACCTCATTCTCCTTGCTTTCAGGATCCAAATCCATCATCATTAATTTTGCCTCCACGTTTAGATCTTTTAATTCTTGGTAATATTTCCAAACTCCAGTAACAATAGCCAAATAACCGTAAGCACCTGCAACTTGAGAATTTCCATCTTTTCCCGAGGAGGCTCCACCCAAAAACCAAACAACATATTCTTTTAATATTGGATACTGTCTACATCTCAAATACCAGTAAATTGAAAAATATAGAGCAATTTCTTGATTTGGACCACCTTGTCCCCGTGAGTCAGTAAGTTTAACTTTCCCACGTCCTCCAAATATGAGATACAGTCCCAAACCCCATTTTTCCTTTGACGAAAAAATTCCCTCAATTTTCTCTTCACTTAACGACAGTGTTCCATTGTTCATCATGGATTTATAGAATTCCAATTTTGATATTTTTCCCTCAACGGCTGAAATCATTAGTGATGCAAATTTAACGTAGTCTCGACTCATTCTTCGCGATGTACCAGTACAGGAGGAATTCACTTTGACTGGGACGTAACCAAATTTGAAGGCAGCCTTTGCCATACCATCGGCAGCATCACAATTACCCGCTATGATATGATAATCAACGAATTTAAATTTTCCACTTGCACTCACCATTTTCTTTGGCATTGCGGGTAAAACTTCGTTGAGGACTTGTCTCATCGAGAGGGATAAAATTGTCAATGGTATTTGATACTTGTGCAAAATTGCATTCACTTCATTGGTAGTGGGTGATTCATTTACAGTTGGAGCTCCCGCTATTTCGTTAATATTGTCTCCGGGAACGTCAGACATAATTATGGTAATTACCTTCGCTGGAAATGCAACTCTAGCTAATCCGCTTCCTTTTATGGAAAAAAATATTTCAATTTTTTAATGAATTACAAGAGTTTGATCCATAGAAGGTGAAAATAAGAACATAAAATTTATGTCATATTTTTTGTTTATTTAAAAATTTTGTTTTAATTAGCCTGAAGAGGATGACAAACCCACGTCATCGAAACGTTGCTGTTTTTAAATAAACAAAAAATATGACATAAATTTTATGTTCTTATTTTCACCTTCTATGGATCAAACTCTTGTAATTCATTAAAAACTTTCGGAAGGAAATTTACACTATTAAAATATTTCAATTTTTAATTTTTTACACACTAATTACTTAATTATCTAGATGAAGCATTTAAGTGACAGTGTGTAAATTGTAACAACTGCACAAAGTGAATGTCGGTTATTACAATACCAAGAATCATCTATAACATTTCTAAATTGAAGACAAATAATTTTTTATAACAATTTTTACTAATTATTCATAACACAGCCACAAAAAAAAAAAAAAAGTTCTGATCTGGGGGTCTCACTATGTAGACTTTATGTTTTTTGGGTCGCTGAATCTGAATCCGAGGTCCATTTAACCTCATCAGATCAGGATTTTGACATAACCTCAAAAAACCAATATGGCGGACACATTTTTGAAAAGTTCATTGGATTCGCTTCAAATTCGTTACTCGGGGGTTTTTGGGGTCGCTGATTACGAATTTGAAGTCTGATTTCAAAAATTCAAAATGGCGGATCCAATATGGCAGACACGTTTTTGAAAAATTCATCGGATTCGCTTGAAATTCGTTACTCTGGGGTTTTTGGGGTCGCTGATTACGAATCTGATGTCGGTTTTTCAAAATTCAAAATGGCGGATCCAATATGGCTGACACATACATATTGGATCCGCCATTTTGAATTTTTGAAATCTGGCTTCAAATTCGTAATCAGCGACCCCAAAAACCCCCGAGTAACGAATTTCAAGCGAATCCGATGAATTTTTCAAAAACGTGTCCGCCATATTGGATCCGCCATTTTGAATTTTTGAAATCAGACTTCAAATTCGTAATCAGCGACCCCAAAAACCCCCGAGTAACGAATTTGAAGCGAATCCAATGAACTTTTCAAAAATGTGTCCGCCATATTGGTTTTTTGAGGTTATGTCAAAATCCTGATCTGATGGGGTTAAATGGACCTCGGATTCGGATTCAGCGACCCAAAAAACATAAAGTCTACATAGTGAGACCCCCAGATCAGAACTTTTTTTTTTTGTGTGGCTGTGTAATTTTTGGCTTGAAGTAATAGTACGTGACAGTTTCATAGAGATGGCAGCATTACACTGTAAAAAAAGGGAGTTAAATTTTAACTCCCCCGGGGGGTCTATAAAAGTCGCACCCATTGGGGAGTTAATGCCAGGGGAGTTAAATAAAGAGAGTTAAAATTTCACACCCAAATGCTAACTCCCCAAGGAAAAAATAACTCGCGCGGGTGTTGAATGAAGGGAGTTAGAAATTAACTCTCTTTTGGAGTTGATTTTTAACTCGAAAAATTTCACTCTTAACTCCCGAGTCCGTTAACTCCCTAAATTTTTTACAGTGTAATATTGTTTCAAAATGAAAAAAGTTATTTTTTCATAAAAAATGAGTGTGATTACATTTCTGACAAACATTTTACATTTAAAACGAATCTGCTGAATTTTGGAAAAAAATATCCATTCTTATCATCGATTGTAACAACTGCACAACAGGTACATTTTTTACAAGAAATCACTTTATTAAAAAAGTATACACTAAATATGGACAACCAAGGCAGTTTTTTGAAGCTTAATCCTCATAGAATTGATATTAAAAAATTTACTTTGTTAAGTATGAAGATCTATTAATTATTTAAAAAATACCAAGCAGAGAAATATTTACTTTTGGCCTCTAAAAACCAAAGTGCCTATTTTTTTAATTGTAAAGCTTGCATAAAATTTTTAAACATATTGCAGCAAGTTCGTACATAAAAACTAAACATAACACTTTATTTAATGCAGCAAAATACAGTCTATGATCGCTGCATAATATAATGTTTCAATAATATCTGGCGCGTAAAATTAAAAGTTTTAGACTGTCGGGTAATATAAAACCTTAGGTATCCGGTTTAGGGGACTTCCCCCTACACCTATAAGATGAAAAATTAATAGATTTCGAATTCCCCCCCCCTCCATTTTGAAACAATGAAAAAATAACGGACATCCGACAAAGTGGTCTCTTTTCTAAAATTGCGTTTTTTAAGTAATAAACCTATTTTTTGCAAAGTTGCTGGTTGGATGTTATTTTATTAAGTTATTTGAAGCAAAAAAAGAGAAAGTAGACATAAAAAAATTTTTGAAGGGACTTTATTGTGAATAATCTTAGGAAATATTGAAATTTTCATTTCTAAAAAACGAAATTAAAAATTGTAACGCGAATTTCTCTGGTTGTTCTGGGAAGTTATTCAGATGAGTTATTTTAAGTCTAGCACACCCTTAAGATGAAAAATCAAAAGGTTTTAAATTTTTCCGCCCCCTCCATTTTGAGACAGAAACAACTTTTTCAACAGACCGACAAAGTGGTCCTTTTTTATTTTTTGTCTAATAACGAAATGGAATACTTAAAGTATCAATAAATTAATGAAAAATGCATTATTTGACGTGTGAGACCCTGTAGATTAAGAAAAAAGAATAAAAAAGTTTCGATATTTTTTTTCAAAATTAGTAAATTGCGATTATCTCAGAATCTAGAACCGACAAAGTGGTCCCTTTTAATGCGGACGTCTACATAATTAGGTTCTCTAAACTTTAAACGCGTTTATTTCAAAACACAATTTTTGAAATTTGCTTACACAATATAGACAAAATTTTAATCGACCGATTAAAATCTATCTAGGCTTGTTTTGAAGATAGATATTTTCTCTTCTGCATGAATTAAATTATTTTTAAATAAATATAAATTTGAATTTGACTTTTTATTTTGAAGAAAAACTGAGATTTTTTTAACGAAAATTACAAATTTTTGTTAAAAGTGATGTACAATTTTCACTTTCGATTAAAATCTTTTGATTCGTATAGAAGGAAATAATGTCTGATTAAAAAGAAAAGTTGATTTTTTTAATTTTAGACATGAATTGTGATAACACTAGGTTGTACTCAGTAGGAAAATTTCAGATAGAATAAGGCGACATATATGTACAGTTCATTTTATTATTAAATATCATCAGGTCATCAGGTGGATATTATATAGGGGAGACTAGGTGCGGTTGTTACAGTGTGCATTTGTTACAAATGGAATATCTCAGAAACAGTTAGTTAAAAAGATAGGGTTCTAAAGAGAAAAATGTTAAGTTTTTATATACGAACTTACTGCAATACACGGAAAGAAAAGGTCTGGAAGAGATATCCATAAAAATATTGTTAAGCAGAATATTGTTGTGTTATCCAATTCAATGGAAGAGACAACTTTCAGAATGGAAGCACATTCCATATTCAATGGATGAGGGAGCCATATTATATTGTTGAATCAAATATGGATGTGACATCCATAGGCATGGTTGGGCTTACAATTCATGCCATGGATTTTCACATATATGGCTGCCTCATCCATATATACTTTGGTTGGGAGATCCATGGTTAGTTCAAAATTTCGATACATGTTGCGCGCAATTCATTATCATGGCATCCATTTAAAAATGGTCGTCTCAATTTGTCCAACGCGTCGGTCTCCTGTCACGTCTATATAATCGCGTTGTGAGTTTATTGTGTATAAATAGTGTTATAATTGTTTATTATTTATTATCGTTATTGTCTATTAGTGTTTATGTAAATTCATTTTCATGAAATATGTGTAGGGTATATAAGGAATATTATATGCTTAAATATTTTAGTTGCGTGTATAGTGTAGTGGATAGCGTTAGTGTTTAGTATGCGTTAGGTCTAGGGTTCGTGTCTCCCCCATCGGTTAATAATTTATTTCGTAAATATGCGGTTATTCAATAAGTGGTGTGTATTAATTAACAAAAATGTGTATAAAATATCTCAAGTGACATAGAATTTAATTAATTGAGTGATTCTAATTTTTTTGTTTCCTATTTCCATTACTATGGATCACCCAACCATAGATCTTTTGCTGCTCCAACAATATACAGCCAGCCATAGAATATGGATGCAGCAACCTTAACTATGGATATCCCGTATTTTTCAATATAATATGGCTGTGATATCCACGTATCTGGATGTGTCAACTATTCCTTTTTCTCCGTGTATATATATATGTGTATATATATGTGTATATATGTATATATATATATATATATATATATATATATATATATATATATATATATATATATATATATATATATATATATATATATATATATATATATATATATATATATATATATATATATATAACTGACATTAAAAAGTGGAAAAAATAGGCAGTCTACTCATGGTTACAAATAGTAAAACATATATGTTTTAACATATATATATGTTTTAAACATATATGTTTAAAAATTATATGCAAGCTTTACAAGTAAAAAAATAGGCACATTGGTTTTTAGAGGCCAAAAGTAAATATTTCTCTGACAGATATTTTTTAAATAATTAATAGACCTTTATACTTACACTGAGAAAAATGGATATTAAGCCTTATTATCTAGATATTAGTGGTCAATATCTGTGACAGTGAACTATGTAAAGTTCTTAGATGTTCAAATTTAATATCTAAGATATTGGAAAAAGACTTGTTCAAACATAACCTCACATTTACAGATTATACTTTTTAACATCTGAGATATTAAACCATAACATCTGGATGATATGCATTAGCATCTTTTCTTAATATCTAGTACATTAAGAGTTTTAATATCCACTTTTCTCAGTGTAACAAAGTAAATTTTTTTAATATCAATTCTATGAGGATTTTAATCCTCATAGAATTGATATAGTTATATAT